ATCCGGCTGCCTCACAAGCCAGTGCAGATGCCTGCCGTTCTCTCTTCAGAGCGATCGACTGCCGCAATCAAGAACCAAAATGTGGTATCGAATGGCGACGCAATGGCACCGATTGATTAGCAAAAGAGCAATGAGAGAAGTAGGCACAACTATACAAGTGTGTCTTTCTCGACCGCTGGCGGTCCGGGTTGGGCACCATGCAAATTTCGAGGAGACGGGGAAGCGAAAGCGCGAACGCTACTGACCGAGCCGAGAGGCGGTCACGAAAGCGAAAGAAAAAGGGAGCGCGAAGTTGAAGGTGGTATCATCGAGACGATGGGAGCCAGCCAAATGGGCGAGCAAGACTGTTGGAGCGAGATATTACGCACTTATGCGAGCGACTCCTTGACGGAGCGGCCACCGGAGAAGGCGCGCGCGCCAAAGAAGACGACGACGGCAAACATGAGGGTGAGGATGATCCAGCCGATCCAGGCGAAAGCCATGAGCGCCTTGGTCGAGTTGCAGTAAGGGAAAGGGTAGCCCTTGTCGGCACAGTTGAACGAGCCGCCGGTGCGGTCGGTAAGAGCAGCGGCACCGGCGAGCCAGAAGATCCAGGTGAGGAAGAGAGCGACTCCGTGGCCGGCGATCGAGGTGATGACGCCGCCGACGCTGGCGAGGAAGAGACCGGTCTGTTTAGTGGGAGGGGCATCAGAAGGGGAACGTTGGTTAGTGTCAAAGTCATGGCTCGTTGAGTGGGCGCACCTGCGGATGGCTGCGAAAGCAGATGCCGGCAGGATCTCGGCGCGTTCGAGCACACTTACGTAGACGGCGCCGATGAGGAAGCCCCACCAGCCGGCAAAGAGGAGGAAGCGGGTGGCGTTCTCGATGCCCTTGGTTGGCGCGTTGCCGTTCGAGTTGTAGTCGGCCACCAGCGTCGAGGCAATCACGGCGACGATGAAGGCGACAAAGGTGAACAGCAGGAAGCTGATGGGGTGGCCCCGGCGGATGGCTGCGGAAGAGTCGACCATTGTGAAGATAGAGTGGTCGTGTGAGAGCGATTGAGAGGGTGGAAGGTGGTGTAGGTGATGGATGCGCGACGCAAGAGAATGAGTTTTGATGGGGCGCGGGAGTAGGCTCAGTCGGCGTAGCGGGAGTATATATTTGGCGCACTGGAAAGCTGAGCCCAGTGTGGCAGCGCGGTGCGGATGGATGGACGGACGGTTGAGCAGGCTCTGCCTGCTACGCATGGAATTTCCTCCGCCTCGAACGTCTGCTGCAAAACTCCGCATCTGCACCTCGACGATTGATGCAGAGTGGTGTGCTGCAGTGCCGCTGTAAGATGACCACCGACTCTCCATCTGGCCGCGTTGACAAATTTAGACGCGGCAGAGGCTGGATGCCGAGCCAGACTCATTTCGTCACTGTGCCTCTTGGCTCACGCTCTCTCCGTCGCGTCGGCGCAGCGAGCCGGTGTGGCGTGACTTGGGGATGCTTTGTGGGCTTTAATCTAGGCCGCTTCCTCTTTTTCCGCATCGTCATCGGAGACTTAGCTCCGGCGCGCCGCCGCCGCGCTCCAGTCCGCAGTCCGCGGTGTGACTGATCCTAACAAGCCTCCGACTCGGTCCTAGCTCAGCAATCCATTCTTACGCTGCCGCACAGAATGCGAGCAGTCTCGAAGCTCGCAGATGCGTTACAAATCGTGCCGGAGCGGCTGCATGGACGTCATTCCGCAAGGGTAGCGACTTGTTCCTATTCCAGGGTTTCAGGGCCTCGACCCGCTGCAGAGGTGGACATGGACATGATCGGTTGGCACTGCATCACTGCGCATGCTTTGCCGCGAGTCTCCGGATCCCTTTCTCGATTCCACGCAACACGACTCTCCTTTGTCTGGCTATCGTGAGCATGTCCGGCAAACAATGGCATTGCTCAGCATGCTGTAAATAGATCGAGACAATGGCCGTGCGAGCCTGATGGTGTAACAACACCGCCTTGGCGCCGCGCGGCACGGCTGGAACGCGAACGCGGCGGGTCGAGTGCAAGCAAGTGGCCGGGCTGTCACATTTCGTCATCTGCAGATCGGATTTTTGGCGAGGTCCGCTTCCCGCAGTCAGAGACACTCCCGTCATTACGCTCTAACAAACGCATGTTTTCTCACCCGCTCCGAACTTTCGAGAGCTGTCAAAGTTTGCACTTCATATTGCTGCAGGGCGGACCGACGGTAGATCTAAATTGAGCCGGGCGTTCACCAGCGGTACCTGAAGCCCGACCACTGGTCACCCTTCAGGCTGCGGGCTTCTTCCACCGTGGCATACGTTCCGCCTCCTCCCATGTGCAGACGGCGCATGAGGCCGCCAACGGCACCGGCATTTTGAGCCTCTTGGGCACGGATGCGAGCAGCCTCGGCCTGCAGGTCGGTGCCCGACGCGATGCGCGCGGGGTCGTCGGCGAGGATGGTCTCGGTGCACTTGCCCTCGTCGCGCTTGCGATTCTCGCGCTGCAATCCAAAGTAGAGGACGATGTTGCTGAGCATGCCAATCACAAGGTAGGCGAGCACCACCGAGTGTCCGAGGAAGAAACGAGGCGCCGTCCTGCTCGGATAGATGTTGGACGAGACAGCTCCGTTGATGTTACCAAACGAGATGACGACGGCAGTCACGACGGATCGCACGTAGGAACCCTCGCTGTTACCTGCCACGATGGCAATCGTGTTTGGGATCATCGGGTAGATACCTGCGTACAGAGCAAAGAAAGCATCAAGTTGATCAGTGAGCTGGCCTTTCGCGAATGCGCCTCTGGGCGCCCGTACTTACCGCATGCTGCGAGGTAGACGCTAAAGTAGCTGAGCCCAGGCCTGCGCTTGGGGTCGTTGGCAATGAGAATGATGTAGCCGATCGCGCCGACGGCCGTAAGGCAGATCGAGTAGAGCGTCCTGCGCGAGGTTCGGTCGGCACAAAAGCCAACGACTACCGTGACCAGACAGGCCACGATGTAGACCGGCACCGAGATCAAGTTGGCCTGGTTGCTGGTGTATTTGCCGAGCGAGCGGACGATGGTTGGTGTGAAGAGCGAAAATGCGTAAAGCGGACAGACACATCCGATGTATGCGCCCATACCGGCCCAGACCTTCCAGTCGAACATGACCTTGTAGATATTGTCCCAACGGAAGCGTTCGCCGGCCGCCGAGAACTGCTGATCGCTCTGCAAACGGTAGATGATCGCCCTGCGCTCCGACTCGGACAAGAAGGTGGCCGTTTCCGGGAAGTCGACGCAGAACCAGAAGCTGAGGACGCCGGAGATGACAGTGGCAAGGCCAATGATAATCAAGATCCAACGCCACCCGCTGAAATCGCCAACGCCTCCCATCTTGTTGATGGCGAAGGAGAGGAGGCCGCCGAAGGCGCCCGATGCAGTGGCGGCGCTGAAGAAGACACTGGCTCGGAGACCGAACTCGTTGCGCTTGTACCAACCGCTGATGAGATAGTTGCAACCAGGGAAAAGGCCAGCTTCGGTGACGCCCAAGAAGAAACGCGCGAGGAGGATGCCGGTGTAGTTGTGTACAAGGCCTTGCGAGAGCATGCAGATGCCGACGAGGATGGTGATGACGGGGAACCAGATGGAAGGGCGAAGACGCTTCAAGAGCACGTTGCTAGGCACCTCGAAGAGCGCGTAGGGGAAGAAGAAGACGGTGAGAGCCATGTTGTACTGTTGACTGCTGAGCTTGAGTTCCTTCTCGAGACCGTAGAGACGGGCGTTGCCGATGGCACTCCTGTCGAGGAAGCTGAGGAGGTACAAGACGCATAGCCACGGAATGAGTCGGAAATCGACCTTGCGCATCAGCTTCTTCTCATCGACGTCAGCGGGGAAGCCGTCGGCGACCGAACCGCGCTCGTCGGGGCTCTTTCCATCGCTGCGAGTGGTTGTCTCGACGATGGGAGCACCCATGTCCTTGTCGCCCTTGAGTTCGTGCGGAGACACTTTGGTGGAATACGACATGGCACGGAGAATTGGAGGGGGAGAGAAGGTTGAGGGAGAGGGCTGGGAATGCACGTTGAGGGCGCTCTATTTGAACCAATCGAGCGATGGCCGTGGGCGACCAATTGGCGTCTCTTGGTTGGAGCCCGGCGACCTCGCTTCGAGGATGAAGCACTGTGTGTGGGGACTACGTGTGGGGAAGGTGGGGTTGCGCAGGATTAGCCCAGGTCCGCGTTGTTGAGCTCATCTCGGATTACCCGAGGACAGGCCGAGTGCCCCACCGTCGCGCCTGCGCGGGGATTTCGCACTTCTCTCCCCACGCGATATCGATTGCAGGAGGATGGCTCTAGCGGGGTCCGAAGACTGCGCCAGCCTCGCACAAACGCTGCTGACCTTTGATGCCACGTTGATAGTGCATGAGTCTCGACCAGCGAGCCAGTCCAGATCATATGCTACCCCGGGAGCTCAAAGGAGGGACGCTGGCACAAGTGCCAACACAGCATTGACCGAGGCGGCTCGGTACAGCGGGGGACATGAGTGCGGGGTAATTGTGCATGCGGAGCGACCCACGTCGAAAATCAAAATGGTGTCCTTCCTCTCGTCGCTCGCCACTGGGACTCTCCTCCCACATGCGGGTTCTCCCACTCGAGCATCGGAGATAGAATCACGGAAGTATCCGCGCGCATGGATGCCTCAGAAATTGACCGCTCGCCGCTCTGGAAGTCTGCCAGCCTGGCAAGGCTGGCAAATCGACCGTCGGAGCGACCGATTGGTGCTGTCCGAATCCGCCGTCCCAGTTCAAACTCATCTCGGCTTAACCGGACACCGACAGCATAGCACCGGCGTAATCTCGAGCCAACTGCCACGGACGATACGGGAATGTCTTTCTCGGGATTGCACTGAGAGGCATGAACGATGGTCTTCCCGACTGCCAACTCCGCTTCTAGCCAGACAATCTTGCAGGTCGGTGATCCCCAGCTGCTATCGCTGCCTTGTGGGGACATCACCGCCTAGTCCTCAAAACCTCTCGTCTAGTATGCTGATCAAGGCGGAGCATCTTGGCGTTCAACTGTCCATATCAATAGCAACCTATCTACGAGGCACTCGATTGCGAGCCACGTCGGCGCCAAGCTAGATCTGTTATCTGAATACGGAGAGAAGCGAAGGCATTCGGACTGAGGCTCGGATCTTGCCAGGTCCTGACTGATCAGCATGTCTCTGGTGTTGACACCAGCCTCCTTGCTCCTGGCGCAACGTGGCGTTGGCGTTGTATGCAGATGTGCCCACGTCGACCAATTGACGGTACCTCACAGGTAGATCGCTTGCCGAGGTGACGGGTAGGGCACTCATTTTTGGAAGAATGTTAGATGTGAGGGCGTCGCGATTGACAATTGCGTAAAAAACGAAATGCGGAATGGCTGCAAAAAGCTCGGCCGAGGTCACGCGGTGGCTCACCATGCAGAGCCCCCAGGGGCGCAGCGCCCCGGCAACCAAAGGAGGCGAGCGTGCGGCTCTCTGGGACCCCCTCAGTCCGGCGAAGGCTCGAGTCGCGAATTCGGTCCCAACGTGCGGCAGCGGAGCCTCGCCTCACTGTAGAGGGAGCGAGAGTGCGAAGCTACGCAGGTCCAGGCAGCTGGTCACGATCGCAACGTTACCACCATCACATCACACATATCGTCAAAATGGAGAACGACCGCGTAAGTAGCTGCCGCTCTCAATCTCCAATCATCGGCAGCATCGCATTCGACAGCACGGAGGTCCACAGCATGGCCACACATCCGCCATCCCAGCAGGCAGTCTGCAGGCTAGCAGATGCGTCACGTGCAGCAATGCTTCGACCTTCGCAGCATCCACAGGCTCGTCTGTATCACTACACGGCTCCAAAAAGAACAAAGACACTAGGGGAGCTAGGTTCGGAAAGACGCCATACGACATACAGGCTGCTTGGTGTAAGACATCGCAGGCGAAGGGGCGATTCGATGTGGGACACGAGCCAAGCTCGCGGATTCGATAGCTACCTGCCCATGAAGCTCGATTTGCACCCAGACGTGCTCATGATTCGTCCTTCGACTGCATCTCAGGCTTCAGTAGCACCTGTTGATCCAGATCTCGCAGATCCCAAACCACATCGACACAACACACAATCACCAACCTCGGCACACCGGCACACCTCCGTGACTTCGATCGATGCTTGTCGCTTGCCCTGCTCGTTTGTCCATCATGGTTACTGACATATTCCGCCATTCGAACCGATCCGCACTGCACACATCCACATGCAACAGGGAGACCTTGTTGACCTTTACGTCCCCCGCAAGTGCGCCGCCACTGGCCGCATCATCGAGGCCAAGGACCACGCTTCCGTCCAGATCGCCGTCGCCGACGTCGATGCCAACGGTCGCATGATCCCCGGCCAGTCCACCGTCTTCCCCCTGTCGGGCTTCGTCCGCCAGCTCGGTGAGAGCGACGACTCGCTCAACCGTCTTGCCCAGAAGGAGGGTCGTAAGTATCTTGATCAGTCGCGCTCCGACCAACGCGCATCGAGTGCCGCCCTACTACATTCCCGCCATCGCCATTGCCAATCGCCCTTGTCGGAGCCAGTTGCACAGCGCACACGGAGGGAGGATCCACGGACTAGCAGCAGGAGTAGGAGTTCTGGTCGATAGGAAGTGGAAGAAGAGATGACGGACGACAGCACACAGCCCGCCCTTGACAGTCTGCATCAGGCGGCTCATACGCCTCTCGCAGGATTCCAAACATTTTCAAAGGAGCGAAGATCAAAGATTACAGCATCGGATTAAGATCTCAATGCCCGGCTGCCCCGCTTGCGGCGGCGTGCCTTCAGTGGGCCCTAGAGAGTCAGACCTTTGCTACATTTCATCCCTGCGACGTGTTTGCTACAATTGTTGGAGGAAATCGGGACAGGACGAGTTACGGAGTATTGGCATCCGCGTGGCAAGCGGCAATGGCGATGGTTCAGGAATGGCGCGGGTCTCACGACAGATTACTTGTTCCGCGATGCATGCATGCTGACCTTGTCTCTGCTACTTTGCAACTCCTTTCGCCACAACAGTCCTCCGCAACGTCTGGAACTACCAGAAGTAAATCGAACCTTCCTTGGCCCGCAACACAGCTTCACCGAAAATCCTTCGATGCTGCCCTTCTCTGACTCTTGGGATGGGTAGATCTGTAGGCAAAAGTCGCTCACGGTGACTTTTTGTACATCGCACACCCGGTAGTCGTGCATCTTGCGCTACCGCACCTCACCAAAAATGAAAACACTCTCAGAGCCTCAGTCGCGCCGTTGGTCTGATCATCTCTGCATGTTGAGCATCGTCCGCCTCATGTGGACTGTGTGAACAGCCGCTGCTGAACGCACCACGCATCGGCCACATTGCAAATGCGATCG